AACCTATAGCAGACATAAGCCGAAGAGTTCCTTCAAAGACTGTACTCCAAAGGTAGGAATCATCATGCATACCATAGCAACAATCTCGGCCTCCATCTTCCGAACACCAGGAAAAACATCCGGGTGAATCGGGTTGGCGACACCAAACTGCCCAAAGGCCTCAGCCTGTAGTTTCAAAAGGTCCTCGCCTCCATGATAAACAGCGCCGCTAACGCGACCATCTTCCCAGCGGGTATGTTCAAGTCCAGCCAACTTATCAAGCTCAGCGCGGACCTGCTCCGGCGACCAACCCTCCTTGGGCAGCGTAAGATAACGTGTAACGTCTGGCCCAGAGTTGACCAGCTTCGACTCGAGTTTCGTGATAGCAGTGCTCACTTGCTTGTCAACCTGGCCGCGAACACCAGGGACGCGCAGGAAGATGCTGTAGCAGAACAGGCGGAGCGAAATGTAGACGTTGCGGATGCTGCCGAGGATGCCATAGCCGCGGATAGAGTAGAAGGTCCTACGTGTGTACCGAAGAATGAACAGGATAAATACGATGTTCCGAAAGCTAGGTTGAAAGCAAGATGCGTCAGTGGTGATTGCCTTTTATGTCTTTCGCTCGTTGATTCTGCGGGGAACGGGGGATTACGCAACGCAACATACAGGTCCAGGTTCGAGGCGTATAGGTGTGCACTGGAAGTCCGGCCATAGCCGAGTAGCTTGTTCTGCAGGGCAACTGGCAATATTGAATAACTCATTGTTCCCCTTAGAAATAGTTCTGCAAAAAGTGATGGGTGGGAGTGGCGATGGGAAGGTTTCACTAAAGTAGTACACTTTGACTGGTTGAGTCTAGCGGGCCTCGGCTTCCACAGCAGTCAACGTTTCACATCCAATGACGGGAGATATCTGGGTATTATCGAAATTGGGTATTGATAGCCTTGAGATAGTCTTGATTCGATACTCTGAACATGACTTTATAAGTTTCTAGGTTGACCCTTCACAGACGCGTCTTTGTCCACTGACGTAATTGGATCAGACTAACTAGTAAATTATGTGGGGGACAACTACAACTACACAAGCACAACAGTCCATTCAGAAAAAGGTACTGCCTCTTCTGCGCCATATGTACAAATAAAGGAGAACTCTCTTCCCCTGACAAAACTGTGTTTTTGGCTCTCCCAAAAGAAAAAAAAACAAAAACAAAAAAGGAAGACTTTTCAAACCCCTTATATGGAAAAAAAATGTCAAAACAAATGAAAAAGCATCATATCATCAGGCATCCGCCACGTTTTTGCACAAGCCACTCTGAGATAGCATCATACAATATATGTGTTGGTGAAAGGAAATCGCCTATACCACAAGACCGGCAGCCTGAGCCTGAAGGAGCTCCTTCTCCTTGGCGGCGAATGCAGCCTGCTCCTCGGCGGTCAGGTCAAGAAGGGGCTTGTTCTCGCCGGACTTCAGGTTACGGTGGTATGCACGGATAATGCTGTCAGCGTCATCAACGGCAATGGGACGAATATCAGCCATGGCCTTGATCTTGGCAGTGCACTCCTTGTATTGAGCGTCGGTCATCTCAAGCTTGAGCTGCTGGGCACGCGACTTGATGGCGTTCCAGCCAGTCAACCGGGAGGCGAAGTGGACGTAGCGGGTCATGCCGAAGTCGGCGGGGTTGATAATCTCGTAGGTGCTGGGGTTGTTGAGGATAGCTTTGGCATGGATACCAGCCTTGTGGGTGAAAGCACAGAATCCGGTGATGTAGTTGTTGAAAGGAATGTTGACCTCAACGGCCTCGGCGACGAGGTCCTCAATCTCCTTGAGCTTCTCAAGCTTGTACTTACTCTTGACATAGTCACGATCGGCGACCATCATGCGGGCCATCAGGCCGCCGAGAGGGGTGATACCGTTACGCTCGCCGATACCGAGAACGGAGGTATCGATGTGAGTAGCACCGGCCTCGAGGGCACAGAAGGCGTTGGCAATGGCACAGCCAGTGTCGTTGTGGAAGTGAGTCTCAATGTCACAGCCAACAACACCGCGCAGAACACGGACAAGCTCGTAGACCTGGCGGGGAGAAGCACAGCCAACGGTATCGGCAATGCCAACACGGTTCACGCCAACCTTGTCCACGGCGGAGTAGATGGACAGGAGGTCAACCAGGTCAGAACGGAAAGAGTCCTCACTGGAGAAACGGATCTCAATTCCCTTGGACTTGACGAACTCGATAACTTCAATGGCAGCGTTCTTGATGTAGGTCATATCCTTGCCGTGAGAGTGCTCACGGAGGTAGGAGGAGGTACCGATAACAACATCACTATTGAAAGTCAGTTGTGGGTCAACAAAATGGGGACAAGATGCACAACTCACACTCCATCAACACCGGTCTCAACAGCAATACGGGCATCATCCATGTGGCAGCGAATATGAGTGAGAATCTAAATTCGTTATTAGATACCAATAGTCACGAGACCCGAACAAAACCCTAACGTACCTTGGCCTTCAGGCCAAGCTTGCAAATGGCCTCGCAATCAGCACGGGACTGCTCAGAAGCGCAGGGGCTGGTGAGCTCGATCTATAGCATGATTAGCATTAAGATCTGCTTGTGAGTATAGATTCTTCGTCTGTCCGACCACTCACGTAGTCCACACCGAAGTCATCAAGAGCCTTGGCAATCTCGATCTTCTTGGCGGTATCAAAGAAAGCGTTGGCGAACTGCTCTCCCTCACGCAACGTAGACTCAATAATCTTGAAGCGAGAGACATTGCTAAGGAAATCGGTGACGCCAGCGTCGTGGCCGTAGGGGTTGCGGGATGCGGAGGGGTGGGGGTTCTGGCGAGTTTCAATACCAACAAAACCATCGTGATTGCCGCCTGAATAGATGTCAGTAACTAATAATGCTGTAATAGCTTTCAATTGATATAACGAGGGTAACAGTACCAGTAGCGCCATTAGCTTGCCCATTGGGCTCGGGGTCGGCACCGGTACACATGGTGCAGATGGTAGGGGTTGAGTGTGTAGAGTTGAGATTGGAAAATGTGAAGTCGGGAAGTTAGGAATAGTTCCAATTAGAAATTGAAGAAGAAAATTGAGCGGTACTTGAAGATGTAATAAGAATCATTTGAAAAAAAGAGAAGGAAGAGTCATAAATTCATAGCGCCGAAGTAGTGGGCGGTGAATCTGAGTTATGGGCGCCGCTCCCCTCGCCGGGCGGCAAAAAAGAAAAATTTGACTGTGGAGAGGTGGGGGAAGTACATTTTAGAGGAGCATGATAGGATCAAAGATCCTGCTACGGAGTATATCCTACAAATATGCAGTGTACTTTTGCATATACAGCATTTACACTATGACTCAAATGCCTATCACTTCCAGTTTCTCTTTTCCCCGAAATTTTTGATTAAGAAACAACATGCTTTTTTGGCAGTTTACTTCATGCCCTGGAACCGACATCGGACCTTACCTGTGGGGTCTGACTCATTAGTCCACCTCAACCTCAGCAGATAAAATGATGTTTTCTACTGACATTTGTAGTTGTAATAAACAGCTACGGTATCTCTGTCTTCAAAAATGAAGGGTCTAAACATTTGGTTCTCACTATCCACACGAAGTCTTGTATGAACGCGGAAGTGACGTCATCGTCACTTCCGGTCTTCTAGTTGGCTCGATGTCTCAAGGGCTGGGAAAAATGATCTGCCTGTTCATGCTAGACTCTCGCAAAAGTTCATATGCTATGGAACGCCGCGTGTAATATAAGAATCACTGGAATTTTTGCATTTTAAAATATCCGTGTCTATGTTGTAACAGGTCATCACTACCCCGGGATCGGCCTATTATTAAGCTTGCCACTTCCCGAGGTCTACTCCGTACCCTCCGTAGGACTTCTGTCAATGTGGCTCCGCCAAGCCTAAGCTAATTTTCAATTATGCTCTGTATTGCATTTGCCACGAAAAACTTGATCCCACATGAATCTACACACTGTCCACAGTTAAATTGATGGGAGGCTTTGAATACCAGGAAATGTTAATTCACAAAAAATGCTCGAATTTTACTCTCTGCTAAACATTATGGCCTTTGTAACTAAATTGATTGTACTGGGTTGTTTTAATAAGAGGTTAATTATTAGCACAAACTGATCGGCGGGGTTTACATGGACAGAATTCTTACAACATACAACATACGGAGGGGGTATAGAAGCACGCTCACTAAGCATTATGTGGAGTCCTACAGCAAATCTAAATAGACTCTCTATACACACACATGTGTGTTGATGCTTCGTCTGTCAGTGGACATGTAGTCATAATTTATTTACTAAATCGGTAGTACAAACACAGAGTAGGTAGCACAAAACTTGGATATCAAATCACTAGCCTGTCAACCCCCTAAGCAATTGACTGTGAGTGCATTTTGTTCCAAATTGATTTCGATTCATACAGGGCTTTATGGCTTTATACAATCTAGCCACGACTCAGCGCTGTAAAGAATCACGATTTTTTCTTCTTAATCCTAGAATTGATCTTGTTTCAACAGTAGCACCAAAAAGTTCTTTTCCGGCTCGACAAGAATCTTGACACCCTATAGGTGCACATATGAGTGTTTCAACATTAGATATCAAACAAACAGTTCAATAAGCACAATTCTGTCGGATGTTACTTTGTAGCTTTGCATTTCAATGCGAGACGCATTCAATTAACTCCAACCGAATCCGAAACTGTTAAAATTTTTGTCAAGTTTCCATACAGACAGGGGATTTATCTACAAGGGTAAGAAACGAGTCCATGGACAGGGGATTCATAATCCAGGAATGAAGACATCCGTTGCTTTCGCAATTTTAATTTCATACTTCTGAAATTTTCCTCCAAGAATGCCAATCCGATACATGCATTATTGATCTTCCGCCTTTGCTATTCAATAACGCTGGGAGATATGCAATAGCAAGCATCAGTATGCTCTGGTCATGGTAACTGTCTAGCCTCCACGAGACCCGATATGAACAAAACTTGATGAGTTAATATATATGATACATGATAGCAACTGTTGACATCCGGCACGTAAGTTGTGGGGGCGGGAGCATTATGCAAGTCAGAATCCACATGGACCGATATGCTTTGCCCTGATAAAGACCTAATCGATTGCAAAATAGAAAAATCACTATGAAAAGCCATCTGAAATCAATCTAGAACATTCTCTGAACAAATTGCATAGGGATGGCGCCATTGGTGCAGAGAAAGGAGGCGCGGGAGTAAATTCAAGCGTTGTGGTTGGCCAGCGCTCAGGCCAGCTGTCGTCCACCGGTCACAAGTATCTCCCTCTGAACACCATTCTTGTCCCTGACTGTGTCAATTCGTATCCGCCTCCGGTCATTGGTAAGTGTTTTGATAGAGTTTCATCTTGCAATAACTTGATTCATCACTCCCGAAACCTGTCTCACTAACTTGTTCCGCGCCTCAGCCCTCAAGATGCATTTCACGTCGCTCGTTACCCTCCTCCCTGCCCTGGCCATGGCCCAGGAGCAGATTCCCCTCGTCGACCGCGTGCAGGGATGGTTCAATCAGGTCAAGTCCTATGTGCCAACAGCAGCCCCCACTGTTGCCCCGATCGAGAAGCTGGCCGTGAAAATTATTGAGAAGAGCGTCACCAACGTGTCTCTGGACAACTGGCAGTCCATCCTTGCCCCGGGACCCCAGGCCGAGGACTGGTTGATCTACACCACTGGTGGCAACAAGACCTGCTTTGGTCGCTGCGGACCTGCCGACAAGGCATTCAAGGTGAGTTGTTGATTTTCCCTCGACGCGTATTTTTTGCGTCAAGTCCCAACCCCCTAACCTTGTGCTCGCAATTCCCAGGAATCCGTCCTGTTGTTCTCAGCCGACCCTGTCTCACCTCAACTCGGATACTTGGACTGCGAGGCAAACCAGGTCCTGTGTGCAGCCTGGTCCGCCAGCGCTCCCTCCGTCCAGTACTACCAGGTTCCCAAGGAGCCCTCTGCTGGCGAGGAGCGTGCCCCGACTCCTCTGCGCAACATCTACCTGAACGCTACTACCGTCACTCCCGAAACCATTTACGAGATCCACTCCAAAAAGACCTACGAGAAGGTCCCCGTCTATGAGGGCGCTCTCCACCCCGTTGACGGCTGGGTCGCCAAGTACCAGCTCAACATCCCCATGGGCTACGCTATCTGGGCTCTTGGTGCTGTCCCCAGTTGGCTATTTATGATTGGTATCAGTTTCTTTAGCCGAACCATGATGTAAGTTCATATTTATTCTGTACCTCTCGTTTGATCTCAGTCTAATACCAAGATTAGGAGCCGTCGCGCGGGTCCTATTGGAAATGCCCCTCGTGCTCCCGCAAACTAGACAGCCTCTTTTGGCCTCTTTTGGTGTTTTGGGTTGTATATATTGAAGTGGTAGTGTATCGTGACGCGTCCAATATATTACCTAAATTGGTTTATGTTCTTTGTTAGACAGATATCTGTCGGGTATGGAGTCTCTTCAATCTTGGGCTTTTTTTCCAGCTACCTTTTTAATCAACGTATCATAGCTATCTAGTGGGATTTTGTAACAGATCCACCGAATGAATTAGTAACTCTTTGATGTCACCCTTGCTTTGCCCTGTGTCCAGAACTTCAATGATCATTGATCCCTTTCCAAGATTGTGGCCCCTTTACTACTCGATTTATACCCCAATTTGCATGATGCACTTACTTACTACCCTTTCGCGGTCACAACAATTGCCTTAACCGGAGCACAGTGTTGATGTGAGACCCCCTCCCAAAAAAATGCTATCCAACCGATCCAACTCAGTCATCACAAAATCTAAGGTAAACATGTTGTACACACGATTTACTTCGGATACTTCTTTTAAAAGACCGCTCACAATAACGATTTGCTAACTAGTATCCCAAAAAAAAACTTAGATTAACTATATGACTTCTCTTCCCACTCAATATCTTGAGCCAAAATAGGCTCAACACCTTCAGACTCAAGTTACAAGGCCAACTCACTGATTCTTTTCAGCCTGCTTCTTGTCTTCATGAAAGTAGCAAATTCTTCTCACGACACCTTGATCTTTGCACCTATCCCTGGCTAGATAAATTTTCTAACCTGGTCCTGTGCATGTGAAATCACTGATCCGTCAGAAGAGGTGGCCTGGTGTTCAATTATCAAGACGCTTCCATCTTGGGAGATATCCATTACATAGAGAATCAATCCATGCGGTGTTCATGACTGGCTGAGATTCAGCGCAACTTCATTGTTTGCAGATCTATTGGCAGCATATCCTTTATCTGTGAAGAGTGCACCTGCATAGGTGGTTTGTTATCCAACAGACATAGAGTCAACATCAAGTATCAAGTTATCATTAATAAAAGAGCGATAGTCCACCCAAAGTCGGCATCTCTTATTTGAGATGACTGTTTCTGGTGAAATAAACGAGTCAGTGATCAGTAGAGTCGACCACACCCTTATGTTCGAGTTAGGAAGAGCGAATCAACTGCAGATGCTGATGCCTGTGCATGGAATTTGAGATTTCTACAGAATTGTGTGTTCTCTCGTCTCTCACCGAGAGGCCCCCCCAGTCAATATTTGTTTGTTCGCCCCTACTTTCTCCTCATCTTCCATGGAACTTATGAGCTTAGTCCGTTTAGTCTGAGATCTACCTACCTCTTTTCGTCCAAGATCTCAATTGCAGAAATCCCAAGATAGTGATGGCAAAGGCTATTGGTTTCATTGGCCTTGGAAACATGGGTTTCGGGATGGCAACTAACTTGGCCGGCAAGCTACCGGTCAAGTCAAAGATCCACGTATTTGATATCATCCCAGCTCTCATGAATGATATCTGCGCGAAATATCCGGAAAGGGCCATGAGATGCTCTGATCCAAAGAATGTCGCTGACAAATCTGTATGCAACCTTCACTCGCTTTGCTGTCCCTTCTTTTCGAAGAGAAGACACTAACGTGGTCTGAATTCTACTAGGATGTCATCATCACCATGCTACCTGAGGGAAAGCATGTCAAGGCAGTGTACATGGGATCGGATGGAATCTGCTCCAGCGACGTTGGACAGAAGCTTCTAGTCGATTGCTCGACCATCGACACCGCGAGCTTCCTAGAGGTCAAAGACCACATTACCAAGAACTTCCCTTGTGCCTCATTCTACGATGCCCCGGTGAGTGGCGGTGTTATCGGGTCGGAGCGAGGAACAATCGCATTTTATCTCGGTTGTGCCGAGAACAACACTAAGGATATGCAAGAGCTCGGGGAATTGTTCAGCTTGATGGGTAACAAGATCATCCTATGCGGTGGTCCGTCTCTCGGTCTCGCAGCCAAACTTTCCAACAACTACCTCTCCGGCATCATCGCGATTGCCTGTTCAGAGGCTATGGATATGGGAATGAAGTCAGGATTAGACCCACGAGTCCTAGCCCAGGTTTATGCGGCTGGCAATGCTCAAAACACCATCTGCGATACGTTCAACCCAGTGCCCGGGGTTGATCCCGATGCACCGTCGTCTAACGGCTACCGGAAGGGTTTTAAGGTACAGCTTATGAAGAAGGATATTTCCTTGGCTTTAGAGATGGCCCGTCGCGTGGGATCGACTAATGTGCTGGGGAGTGTGGCATTGCAGACATACAAGGAGGCTAGTGAGGATGAGCGATGCAAGGACTTGGACTCACGGATCGTGTTCCGGTACTTGGGTGGGAATGAGAACTGGAAGGCTGACCACAAGAGCAAGAATTGAGCCTTCGATGTACGTAGCCCCGATTTAGAGGGTTGCCCCAATTTCCGAAACGGGGAAGCTGGGGAACATATGAACTGCAAAAAGGGATGGGAATGATCATTCTACCTGAATCAAAGGCAGTTTTTTTAGTACGCCGAATGGCTGTGAAATCCTGGTGACAAAAGGGTGCTATGAAGTCATTCTCAAAGGTGGTGGGTGCATATCATCTTTCAATAAATCTCGATCATGGGTGTGTTGGGTTGAGAGAAATACATTGCGGCGTCATATGTTAGATTTGCTAAATGAGTTATAACTTGGTCGCTCTATGTCGTCTTAGCGTTGGAACACTATAGCTGATCAACTCAGGTCTTTGCGGGAAAGATTGACATGCTGCAAACTGAGTGACAAAGCCAAAACTGGTCCAGATAAGTAATAAGGCTGTCAGTAGTCAAATGCATTAAATCTGAAGAAGCAGTTCTTTTTTCAGAATATGTCGTGTCTGACATTGATCAAGTTAGGAAAAAGCAAAAGGCGAGCGCAGAACAAAACGAGAAGACATCCCGGGCGGTCGAGTTTCCCTCAAAATTTTATTCCGCAAGGCTCAGATCTCCAACTACCAACCAACACAACCGAAAATGGCTGCTCCGGTACCATTAGACCGCATACCTCCCACAACGGCTGCCTACGTGATTGCAACAGCCATTATTGCAGGCGTGACCGGGTATTTTATCGGCCAAGGCTCCTCGATTAACCTCTTCAAAGAAAAAGAAGGGTGGCCGAACAGCTACGATGTGAAGGTCCATAGCCACTCCTCCTCCGAGGACGAATCAGACTCCGAAGAAGAAGAAGAGACCGACGAGGAAGATGAGGGCAATGGCGAAGAACTCTCGAGCTTCAAGGACAACAACGAGGAGGTGAAGCTGGTGCTGGTCGTCCGCATGGACCTGGGCATGACCAAAGGTATGAGCTTCATGCGCAACGTTTCAATCATTCCTCGCACTCGTGTTGCAAGCGCTAACAAGATTTTTCCTTTAGGAAAAATTGCCGCGCAATGCGGCCACGCTACCCTCGCCTGCTACAAATACTTCCTCGAATACGCGCCCAACTCGCCTATCCTCAAGAAATGGGAGCGCGGTGGCCAGGCCAAGATTGCATTGCAGGTCAAGTCCGAGGATGAGCTGCTGGTCATGCAGGCTCAGGCTATTAGCCTTGGGCTTTGCACGCGCGTTATCCAGGATGCTGGGCGCACTCAAATCGCAAGTGGCAGCAAGACCGTGTTGGGAGTCTTGGGACCCAAGAGCGTGGTTGACGGCGTGACGGGACATTTGAAGCTGTTGTAAATTATACACATTATGCATGTGCTTCTTGCGCATCTGGCTAGGCAATGATCATCACGACCTCGACGATTATGTTTCCAACTTTACGAAACCCGTCGCGCCAAGAATGTAACACGGCTGTAAACCAAAAAGCTCAGAGGCATGTAGCACGTCTCAGACATTCTAATCCTGCAGAACTGATGACTTTCCTCAATCTGGGGTTTACAAAATACGAGTTCTATTAGGAGATGTTGGCAAGTCATGGTTATTCCCTAACCTCAGCGGCCAACGGCCAATCGGCAAAGAGATATGAAATATGACGCCGTCCGGCACCAAGCTATCAAGCCGAGCTCACCAGTGGGAGCTCAAGACCCGCGTCACAAGGCGCGAACAATTAATCTGAGATCTGTCGACCGGAAACCGTAAAGGCCATCCACAAAAATGATGGCTCCAAGCTCGTCGAAATGCCCAGCTCTCAACCGTCACAAAGAAACCAGTCAGACTGGAGTCTATGGACAGGAAATCTGGACACAGATCCGGTTTTGGAGAAGAAGAAAAAGAGAAAGGAAGAAGAGGGAAGGCTCTTATTTATGTTCCAAGTGGGGCCGCTTAGAATTTATGACACTAGTCTTAAATAGGTAGAGTGCCAGTCGGTCACATCACGTGACTCGTTTGCGGTAATCAGCAAGCCAGACGGCGATGCGCTCAAGGCCATTTGCCTTTCCATCTCTTCCCCTTCTCCTCCATATACTGTTAAAATGGCGGACGCTCTCTCTATCGAGCAAAATAATAAGATCCGAGTGGCTCTTGGCCTCAAGCCACTCCCAGTTCCCGGCGCCGGCCCAGAGTTCAGAGAAGACGACGACAGCGAGTCCGGTGAAGAAGACGAACCAGCCAGCACCCTCGAGTCACGACAAGCGGAAAGCTACGAAAACTGGAAGAAGGTTCAGGAAACCGCGGAAGCGAAACGGAAACGTGACGAAAAGAATGCCGCCATCAAGCGGGCGCGTGACATCGCCCAAAGGAATATTCAACTACAGGGATCTACACTAGGCGAGGGGAATGGCGATGAGCTCGATACTAAGGGCTGGCTATCACAATCCAAAAAACGCCAAAAGAAGATTGAGAAGGAACGCGCCCGGAGACTGGCCGAGGAACTCGCAGAACGGGAGCGCCTTGCAGAAGCCGAATACACTGCAGCGGATCTTGCTGGCATCAAGGTCGGACATGCTGCAGGTGCTTTTGATAGCGGTGAAGATCACATTCTGACGTTAAAGGACGCCGCGGTGGATGACGAGGAAGAGGACGATGAGCTCCAAAATCTAGAGTTGGTCGAGAAGGAAAGAACTGAAGAGAAGCTGGAGCTCAAGAAGAAAAAGCCCGTCTACGATCCTACGGCAGAGAATCAGGGTATTCTTTCTCAATACGACGAGGAGATCGAGGGCAAAAAGCGGAAGAGATTTACACTCGATGCCCAAGGCTCGACCGAAGAACGCGAAGCAAAGCGACAGGAAGTATCAAACCAGCTGCGGAAGAACATTATCAGCCTCGACTTTGAGCCGGAAGTGCCGTCCTCTGATTACATGGACATCAGCGAGGTCAAAATTAAGAAGCCCAAGAAGAAGAAGGCCAAAGCTACAAGAAAGAGGACTTTCATGGACGACGACGAGATTGCTCCGGCTGCAGATTCGACCGATGCGCAAGCATCCTCGGCCATGGATATTGATTCAAATGGTGGAGTCCCAGTTCCTGCTCCCCGCAAGCCCATAAATGAAGATGTTTCTTTCGTGGATGATGACGACCTTCAAGCCTCTCTTGCATTGCAACGACGCGCAGCCTTCAAGAAGCGTAAGAAGATCAGCCCCGAAGAGCTTGCCAAGCAGCTTCGAGAAGAGGAGACTCAGACCCCAATGGACATTGAAAACTCTGACAACGAAGGCGAGGAACCTGGCCTTGTTATTGACGAGACATCGGAGTTTGTTTCAAATCTACACAAGCCTACACTCCTCGAGCAGGAAGAAAAACACGCCAGATCCGCGGCCAAGGAACCTGAAAGTCCCAGCGCAGAGCCTGAAGAGGAGGGCGTGGAAATTGACATGGACCGTTATGGCGATATTGAAGACGAAGAGGAGCTTGCCGCGCGCATCAAGCGCGATGAAGCATCTGCGGCCCAGCCACAACAACTCACTGGTACAGGTCTAGAAGAGGAATCTACTTTGGATCATGGTCTTGCTGCAACTCTATCAATGTTGAAATCGCGCGGTCTGGTTAAAGACAACAATAGCACGAGTCAAAACGCGCTCATGCGCGATCGCCAGCGTTTCTTGGCTGACAAGGCGAACCGCGAGTCCGAAATTGAGCGACGCGCCCGCCAGCAGCGTGAGCGAGACCGTGCCTCCGGCAAGCTTGAGCGCATGTCAGCCCGTGAGCGCGAGGAACACGCGCGCTGGGAGAACAAGCAGCGCGACCAGCAGGAAGCGCGTCATATGGCCGACGTGTTCAACCGCGAATACAAGCCCGACGTCCAGCTGCGGTATGTGGATGAATTCGGTCGCCACATGAACCAAAAAGAAGCCTTCAAGCAACTCAGTCATCAGTTCCACGGCAAAGGCAGTGGAAAGATGAAGACCGAGAAGCGTTTGAAAAAGATCGATGAAGAAAAGAAGCGCGAATCCATGAGCACACTAGACAGCAGCCAGAACACCGGCATGAACGCTGCTGTCGGCACTGCTGCGCGCAAGAATCGCCAAGCTGGTGTTCGCCTGGGCTGATCTTTTTTTCGCTAGCCAAATACCAATTTTACGATATCCAAAGTCTGTGCCAAAAGCCCTTCCGATGCTCCGTAGTTTTTCCCTTCGGCCTTGATCAGACAGCGTCTCTTCATCTCTCGTGGGGGACAAGACATGTATTTACTATTACAACATTAAGAGAAAAAAAATTTTGTGCATTTTCAAGGGATGGACATATTTAACCGAGTTGCTCCTGCGGGGGTGTAAGAATCCAAGGTGTCATCTCAGATACGGGGAAATGGGAGGATTACTCCAACTATGTGAGGGGAAACAATGTGGAGTTGGAGAGTTTGCCAGCCTCGATCAGTTCACCGGAGATTCGACTTGCGGAGACACATTTTGGAGATGGGCTGATGTTGGCAAGTTGAAAGTTGTATACATCGGATGTTGGCATTTTGGAATATTCTAGTGTTTCACTCGACATTCCTTGAAATTCAACGTATGAAGTAGCAGCCGAAATGTCGACCACAATTCACCAGATTCAAATAACTAAATACCCGTGAAGACAACCGTTGATCCCTGCAATTTATCCGGGGGATGCAGCCAATCCCATTCGTACATCTCGCCAGGGTTGGTTGTACTTGGTACATGGGTTCAGGCGGAGCTGCATACCAACTGGCAGGTACCCGGTACAAGTATCACATGAGTCAGGCATCGGAACTACTTGACCGATCCTTTATATTCTTTCTCTCCTGCTCCGGTTCTTCCCTCTTCTCTTCCAATCCCACATACAGAAGATCTCGGTCTTGTCCTTTTCATTTTTCTTCGTCTCTGTCATTATGCTTTCCACTCTCAGAGTTGCCAGCCGGTCGGCTGCCTCCCGCGAGGCTAACATGCGCACCATCTTGATCGGAGCTAGACACGCCTCGGCCTGGGCCAATGTTCCCCAGGGTCCTCCTGTAAGCATTGAGCTTGCAGTCACCGTAATGGTGGTTTGAAAGGCCAATTCTAACGTAGCTCGGTTAATAGGACGCCATTCTCGGCATTACCGAAGCTTTCAAGGCCGACTCCTTCAAAGAGAAGATCAACCTGGGCGTGGGTGCCTACCGTAAGCCTCGCCCCAAAAAATCACCTTGTTGCGCAATGAATAGAACTTCGGATTGCTGACGAGCCGTCGCGTGGTTTTAGGTGACGACACGGGTAAGCCTTATGTCCTGCCCTCTGTCCGCGCCGCCGAGGACAAGGTCGTCGCATCGCGCTTGGACAAGGAGTACGCTGGCATCACCGGTATTCCCGCCTTCACCACCGCCGCCGCTGAGCTCGCCTACGGCGCCGACTCCTCTGCCATCAAGGACAACCGCCTCGTCATCACCCAGACCATCTCCGGTACCGGTGCCCTGCGCATTGGCGGTGCTTTCCTCAAGCGGTTCTACCCTGGCGCGAAGAAGATCTACCTCCCCAACCCCAGCTGGGCTAACCACAAGGCTGTTTTCTCCGACTCCGGTCTCGAGGTCGCCCAGTACAGCTACTACAACAAGGACACCATTGGCCTGGACTTCGAGGGTTTGATCGCCGATATTAAGGCCGCCCCCGAGGGCAGCATCATTCTCCTCCACGCTTGCGCGCACAACCCCACCGGTGTCGACCCTACGCAGGCCCAGTGGCGCCAGATTAGCGATGTCATGAAGCAGAAGGGCCACTTCGCATTCTTCGACATGGCCTACCAGGGCTTTGCCAGTGGTAACGCCGACCGGGATGCCTTTGCTCCCCGCCACTTCGTCAAGGAGGGTCACAACATCGCTCTTTGCCAGAGTTTCGCCAAGAACATGGGTCTGTACGGCGAGCGTGTTGGTGCTTTCTCCCTCGTTTGCGAGAACGCAGAGGAGAAGAAGCGTGTCGATTCGCAGGTCAAGATTCTCATTCGCCCCTTCTACTCTAACCCTCCCGTTCACGGTGCTCGCATCGCCTCCACCATCATGAACGACCCTGTCCTTAACAAGCAGTGGCTCGGTGAGGTCGAGGGCATGGCTAGCCGCATCATCGAGATGCGCTCGCTTCTCCGCACCAACCTTGAGAAGCTCGGCAGCAAGCACGACTGGTCCCACATCACCAGCCAGGTGAGATCTCACATCTTAATTCTCTTTGATCCATGTGACTGACTTAAATATCCAGATCGGCATGTTCGCCTACACTGGCCTGAAGCCCGAGCAGATGGACTCCCTTGCCAAGGAGGTAAGATTTACATTCACACCTCTTCTCTAGTTTGACTCCTAACAACGTTTCTAGCACTCTGTCTACGCTACTAAGGACGGTCGTATCTCCGTCGCTGGTATCACCTCCAGCAACGTTGAGAGACTCGCCGAGTCCATCTTCAAGGTGACCGGCTAAATTTAAAATCGCCTCAAAAAGGAAATTTTGAAAGAAATACGATAAAACGAATGTTGGGGAGAGCAACCGGGCCTGCGTTCTCTTTGAAATCCCGGCCCTTATGTACTGATATCTAATGTCTCTGTTTCATATTTAGCATCGTTCGGCTCTGTCCGTCTTAACGGGGATTTTGGATTGATTTTCTACTTTTTTTTTTTCCTTTTCTTATCCCAGCATCCAAGTGCACTGTGTAAACTTACGGTAGTCCATTCTGCTCTCGTCGACTCCCTAACCTTCCCCCATCCCATCCTTCCCAGTAATAACGAAACTTTGGTCTTCAAATGCGTCCGACAACGGTTAGTTTGTTCTCTCGGCCAACTTCACACCTCTCAGGGTCGATGGTCGGTACAGGGATTGCATTCATGATGTGCAACGGCTAAGTGCTAATTCTCTAGGTCATAATGTAGGATATTAAAGCCCCCTTTAGCTATCTAAGCTATAGCAATGTCTAGCCTTAGTAGACTTGGTATGTCAGTTTTCTATCGGTGGTCTCAATTTGGGTCTTCTCAATGTTCACCAACACCCCCTTTTCATTATTAATCTATAGGACATTAGAGTACGATAGAAATTAAGCGAGTGTCTCACGTCGTATAACTCTATCTTCACTACTTCTCTAGAAATAGGGCCTAGGAAAGTTGAAGCCAACCAGCTGGTCCTTTAGGAATCAGGAACCAGTTGCTAAGGGACTATCTCCGCATGTTCAGAGCCTCGCTCAATAATAGACGTGCAACCAAACCTTAGAGCGAGTAAATTGGTGTTCAACCGGTGATGAGGTAGCCTATACTATCATGTAGAGATGGTTTGTTTTGAAGAGGTTCAGATTCATTGGACCGTTCCAGCACTGCGAATACCTTTAACCCCCGCTTAATCTAGCTTAAGATGATATCAGGGACGTTGTATGTGAGATAATATTCCAGCGTTCTTTTTGAAAATTTCTCCTTAGATATCGTCTCAAAAGTTTTTCTTTTTCTCCGTCTTATGGCTAGTCGCCTATTCCGCGTCCACCCACCGAGGTTACGCCTGGGCAAGGGGTGACGTCGGCTTTGGTTGAAAGGAGGGGGTTTTTTTTTGAATTCCTGGGATTTTTCACCACGTCTGTGGCAAGTTCAATAGATAGGATTCAGGACCCAAAGCAAGCGCTGAAAGGGCATATAACACCACGTGCCTGGCATAAGGGAGCCATCGTCACCGACTACGTTTTTCGACAGTTGGAGGAGTGTTTTAAGAATAAGAACGGGGGTAGGCAGGAAGAGGACCAATTTTGAAGAGTTGACATGTTTAAAGAATCTGTTAGTTTTGAAGATGCAACCGAAGTGAAAATGTGTTCAGTGACCCCTGCCACAACACCAATTGCGCCATGGTATCCAGCTGTTAGAAACTCAAATGAATCAGTATCCCATCATTCCGCTGACGCCCATACCCGAGCCGGCGCCGGCAGGACCAAGAGAGGGACAGATGCAGCCCGGTGGCGCATCAGCGCCAGAGTATGGGTACCACTCGGGGGGTGGAGAAGGGGTAACAGATCGACCCATGACACGAGCTAAGATGCTGGCAGGTGTACCAGCGGAGCCCTGGCTTGCATGGAGAAGGCCGAAGCGGAGGAAAACTTCGGAGATTGTAACGATGATTGAAATGATGATGAGGACAATGATGATCCAGGTTTGGTCTAGAATGCGGTCAGTTAGGAGACCAGGGAGGGAAAAGAAGGTCAAGACCTACGGGAAGTGCGGCTGTCGGCAATCGAGTCGGATAAGATCTCTGCGAGATCGAGGAATACCCGACATCTCTCATTGAGAACCTGAATTCGTGGCTTGATCTCCAGATACTCGCGCACGGCGATGTAGAGCGGGTAAAGGGTTGGTTCGCTCTCCCAGAAGAAGTTCGGCACATCGAGCATGTTGGATGCTGGTGGAAAACATTAGCATGGAATTAAATCTCTTCTCCACAGTAAAACGTGGAAGAGGACATATAAAGGATTGGGAACTTACAGAGGTTGACCTCAACACGACTCTTAAACAATCTACCTAAAATCCGGAAGACCTCTTCACGTTTCATGCCCAGTTGACCCGTAACAGCAAGACGTCTGGGAACGTCTTTGGCGTCCGCCATCTGTCGGGCCATAACTTCCTCGAAGAAGCAAAGTTTAGTGCTCTGTGAAATACCATGGCTAATAGCGAGCTTGATCATGTGGTCGCCACTGCGAAGAGTGATCATGTCGTTATAGACTCGCGGGCGCGAGATCTCGGTCGAATACTCGAAATGGAACTCTTCTGTTTCAAAGTCTTCCTCGTCAAGAGGCATTGTCGCCAGAGGAGTAGGGATGCCAGTTGCAGATGATGTAGCAAATGCCAGATCTGCCAGAAGGTCTTTCTCCTGTCGCTCGGTAAAGTTCCAAAAGACGACGACACCGTAACTGAAAACGAACATTTCAGCGACATTGTATAACGTCCGAGCTGGGGCTTGCTGTGTTGAGGACGAGGAGGGTGTGGGGACCGGTGGGGAGGGACGGTCTCGAATCAAAGCGTGGCTGTCGTCCGTGCTGTGTCTTCGGCGACGGAGTGCAGGTTCAGGCGAAGATTGCCGAGTTCCCTCATTGCTGTCTGGTTGCGGGAGTGGCGGGATATGGTGCAACCCATCGACACTTTCGCCGGAGCTGGCGGCGTGCTCATGGCCATGGTCATCGGGGAGATGACCATGAACTTCCTCGGAAATTCGATTCAGGAATTCTTCGCGATTTTCCTCCTGGGGATCATGACCCTCAGGCTGTCGCGGCGAGCCTTCATAATGGTGCTCATCCTCTGGACGGTTGTGTCCACCAACGGAATGCTCCTCCGTCTCAAGCATATATTCATCATGATAATCACGAAGTTCATTCCGTTCAATCTCTTCATCCAACAGCGACTTGCCACCCGGGTATTTCAACACGGGGCTACTTCGCAGACGATACCCCTCATGGCCCGGCAAAAGAGGGAGATGATACGCGGTGTAGAGACAATCATCATAAAGCTTCGTCCGCCCACCATGCTGCTCCTTAACAAAGGTAGCAAGCGACCCCATCTTATACGCTTGAGCTGTACAGTACGCCGTAACACGCGCAAGCTTCTCCGTCCGCCGCGCCTTCGGCAACCGCTCCGCATAACTCTTCGCGCGTTCAGGTGCAACACGACGTTTCTTCGAGACTTCTTCTTCGGCCAGCAAGGGGGAAAGGTCATTATCGACGCCGAAATCGCCTCCAAGTCGCTTCGACACAAGTAACTGGTGTCTGATCCTTTCCGGGTCGACATTTTTTTCTTTGGCTAGACGTGCGACAAGCTCCTCGTCCACGAGGTCCGCACCATCGGAATCATCGTCATCTTCCTCGGTTTCGCCATCCTCCAGCTCGCCAGTGTCAGGCAGAAGAACCAGCTTCTCGCTGACTTTCGTTGTTCGTGGAGGGAGTCGCGGTTGTGCGGCAAGGCGGCTCATCGTGCCGCCCGATCCTGCTACTGCGCTTGAACTGCTACTGCCTGCACTTGTAATTAAGCCTCCTGCTGCGGAAGCAAGACGGCGCGACCGGGAGATTGGTGGTGGGCCGCGCTGCTGCATTGAAGGAACGTCGGACGCGTACTGGAGGACGTTGTCGACGGTGATGAATCTGGTTGCAGGAGAGCGGCGCCGACGCGGTATTTGAGGCTGTTGTTGATCTCTGGAATCTGTGACCTATAAAAACGATGTGTGTTAATTGGGCTTGGTTCCTACGCTTGATTTGTCAAGTCAATCCCACCAAGACGGTTGGGCTGCGTTGGCTAGTCCCCCGTCCTCGAGCCGGGGGAGTCATTGTCAAACGAGCTTAGAGGAGGCGCTTGATTCTGCTTTTTGATGATTCTTTGCTGGCACTCGACAGCATAGAAGAAAGAAGTGGCCGTCGGTGATAACAATTGCTATGTTCGATGCTCCGAGCCAGCAAGTTCGAATGGTCTCGGGGCTAAACCTAATTAAGAATAGTTCCTCGAGCGGCCAAATGACGTCTACAAGCACAGTCACGTGTGTGACTGACTCACGGATCATGTGACAGGGCCACGTGCTACACCGCTCAATGCCACCAGGTCCACCATACCCCAGTGGGACTAGCAGATTGATGATGGAGTTTTGGTCGATCTGGGGTAAAAGTGAAGATCATCCGGGAAATGGCTCCATGGCCTTTCGACTACAAAGGAAATGAGACTGAGTCATTGAAGATTCGTTGATTTGTGAGTTTTCCGTGGTCTCAGCGGTCAGCGTGGCTCTTGACTATTTGTTTGTGTTCATTGGTAGGCTGACTATCCGACTGCAAAGGGCCAGTCTGAAAACATGGAAGCCTTATAAAATTGGGGTCATAAGAATAAGAACATGGATTGCTATGGGAAAGATGAACAATATGACCAAAAAAAGAAAAACATAAACTCCGGGGCTGTCGATTCGGTTAGCACTCTTTCGAGTGAGACATGGTCACCTTGCAGATGGGATTAAAGAGAATTAACGAAATTAAATTACGAATGAAGGCCATCACGAAGCTGCCGGTCTTCCTCCCAGATTTCTTTCTTCATGCGCTGCAGATGAAAGTGCTGCTTTTGCAGCTTTTCAAGGTCCACTTGGGGCGGGTTGGAGAGTGCTGCAAGGGAGTCATACAAGTTGCGGTACTTGGCGTAAAAGTTCTTGAATTTCTGAGACTTCTCCCGCAGCTGCTGTCTCAGAATCTCGTAGCTCATCGATGGAGATGCACTGCCGGTGCTGCCGCCGCTAGAGGAGCTGACCGCTCGGCGCCGCTTGGCTTCCAAGTTTCCAGTCGGACGTCCTGCCTGGGGCATGGACGATTGCTCGGATTCGGCTTTGCGCTTCAGTGGGTTGGCGGTAGTGGAGACATTCTTCGTGATACCGTTGGTCTGGGAAGTAGTTTTGGTAGCTCGGGCAGCCGCTGGGGCCGCACGCCCCACCTTGCTGGGTTTAGCCAGCTGGGAGATGAGAGGCGAAGACGAGGATGAGCCGGATGATTGGCTCTGAATGTCAGCTCGGCTACGGTTGCTGCTGGTGGCATCGAGAACATTGGCAGGGGGAGAGGAACCGAGTGGTGACGGCTTCTGTGGCGAAGTAGAGGGTCGTGAGGGAGGACGCTTCGAAGCTGTCACCTTCGCGAGTGCTTTGGAGGGTTCAAGCTTAGGCTTCAATGCCTCAGGTTTAGCCTTGGGAACAGGAGCAGATGGGACAGAAGTAGTCTCCGTGGTGCGAGGCTTAACTGGTGCCTTGATCTTCGGTGCTGGAGGCTTTGAATTGGATGGAGTCCGCTTGTGATCCTTCGGTTGCTGCTTGGGCGCGGGAGCGGCAGGGCCGGTCTCGAGCAGATTGGTATCATCGTCTTCATCCGAACTGTGGACGAATTCCGCGGACTTGATCTTGCCGTCCACTTTGACTGGGGCCTTCCCACCAGTCTTCTTCGTCACCCGTCCGGTAAGGGTACTGTTGGTGTTCTTGGGTTTGGCGGGTCGCTTGATCGGGTCCTTGTCACGAGCCTTTTGCGCGGTCGAAATGGTCTTGGTAGCAGACGCGGGCCCCTTGGCGCGGTCGGTCTCAATGTCCTTGCCCGAGTCCTCCCCGTTGGCTTTGGCGAGTGGGGCGGCAGATTTCTGGGGTGGGCCGGTACGAAGGTTCAAACGTGAAAGGCACTTTCCCTTGCCTCGTTCCGCTTTTGGAAGAAGAGTTTGCCAAAGTTTGTCGGATCGAGAGATGCGCATACGATCGAAGGCAGAAATTGAATTCTCAATGGCTTCTTTTCGGTCCTCCTCGGTGTAATTGAACCCAAACACATCAAGATCTTTGTAGACCTTGTCCTTGAGGTTGTATTTCTCGGGGTTGATTCGGTTCACGACGCCGAATTTCTCGCCGAGGGCGGTGCAATCTTCGACGGTGGTGCGGGTTTGGCGGGCCAGAAACTTGGCTGATACGGCACGAACGGCGAGAAGGTGAATGAAAGGAACCTTGAGGGCTTCAAGCCTCACACGGTCCTTGTTCTCCATCGTTGGGGCGGATGTTGGCGTCATTGCGAAAGAGGGAGACTTGGGAGCACCCAAGACCGGACTTGCAGTGAGGGAGCGATTGGCAGCAGTCTTGAGAAAGCGATCTTTCTCCAGTTCAACTTTAGTGGTTGGACGTTTGTAGCCTGACTTGCTGCCTCGTAGAGCCTTTAGCTCATCCGGGTGTGAGATTATGTGAGTCTTCTTCGACTCCTTCCCCCTCTCATGAGCATTGAGTTTTTCTTCTAAATCTGCCAGCGCCTGATCGGTGGCCGCAGTAGCATTTTGAGCCTTTTCAACTTCTAGACTATGACTCAAAACCCCGGTGAAATACAGTGTCTCTTTATCGGACGAGCTATGGTAGATCTCAGATCGGTGTGTTTCGGGATACGCATGGAACGTTTGAGATTTGCCCCCGTAGTGAAGCGAAGGGTGTTTTCCCAGCCGGACTCGAGCCGGTTGATCCTTTCGTAGGCTCTGAATCAGATCATCGAGGGTGCTTTGCACTAGATTCAACCTCATGATCTGATTTGGCTTGAACGAAAGATCACCGGACTGATCTCCGAGGTGGAGAGACAGCCCGGTTGGGGGAATATTGAGGTCGGTCGACATTATAGGAGTTGAGGAAAGGTCAAGGTCGGTAGGAAGCAAGAGGGATTCGAGGTGAGCAGGGTCGGATGGCAGCGTCAGAGCTGCAGGTCAAGCGGCCAACTGCACGAGAGAAATAAAACCATGAGCCATAAGATCGTTAAAAAAAAAAGGATGATAGAGAAAGCAATGCAGAATGTCAAATGCAACTGGTACAGGGTGAGAAGAAAGAGGAGAAAGGCAGAAGGGCAGAAGGGCAGAGAGGCAGAGAGAGCAAGGCGAAGCGTCGGAGAGTCGGAGAGTGGGGAGAGCTGACGGCGATTTCCTTGTAAAATTACAGGGGATTCCCGAT